TTGATAGCTTCTTCTCAGGTGATATCCTTTCTAATTCTGTCAAGTGTGATGCCAAAGAATATGTCCGCCCAGGACCATATCCTTTTTTTCTTTGATTCATTGACAACCATTAAAGTTGCTAATTCACTAATTCGCTCTGTGTTTTTCACACAGAAAAATTTAAATCCCTCATACTTCTAGAAAATAGACCCAATCATTTTATTCCAATGATGCATAATGAATGAATCAACTTAAAATAACACTTCCAGTGGATGTTTTATTTTATATATGTCCAAACTCCCAACACGGGTTCCCTTCAACTCCCATAACTAGATGGATCTAGTCACTGTGTTTTACACAGTGAGGTTCTTTAGGGCACCACCAATGGAAAGGTATGTGCCCCAGAAACCCCAGCCCTTGGCTTTGTTGGCCCACACCACCCCCTCACTGGGCAACATCTTACAGATAAGCTGTTTCCCAGCAGCTGGCTTAGCAGGGAAGGCAGCAACAGCTAGGTGGAACACAGCCAAGTGCTCACCTGAATTGTCTACAGCCAGAGCTGCCAGAACTGCCTGTCAGGTGGGACCTAACAAAGTGCTTCCCAGAGGCATCCCTCATAAGAGCTACCCTGGCCAACTGCCAACACAGCAACTCCCAGACTAGTGTGCCCCATGGACACAGGTGTTTACCTAATATCTAAATCACATAGCTTCCAATTTCACAGACTGTATGGTGAGCATTAAGTGATTAATAATTGTGTGTATATGTGCATGTATCCACACACGCACACATACAGATATCTGGAGAGGGAAGCTTGAAAGATTTGGTGGAAAAAATTCATTCTTTTTCTAGTCCATTTCCCCATGAACTTTTAAAAGTCCATTGGTGTGTACTTGTATAAGGTGTCCTATATTAGAAATTTTCTGAGGTATCTATTTGTTTTTCTGAAATGTTCATGATAAAATGTTTGGAAAAGTGGTGGCAGAAAGAGTGCAGTGAAACCATAATTTCCATGACAAAAATAGATCAGAAAAAAAGGTTTTATTCCAAGGCATAGTATCACACTGTAATATATTAACATTTTAATATGACACATTTAAATAGAACACTTCTTTGATAAGACAATCATACTCAAGCTAAGATACAAGATGCAGATATTCTGAAACTTTTTGGTATAAATTTTGATACTTGATATTTACTTCTCCTACTGGCACAAAATCAATACAGAGGAAGGTGTTATGTTGCTTTTACATTCAATAATAATGACTTTATATCAAGCTCAGGGAAAATACTAGTGGTAAGCCTAGTTTATGAAAAAGCAGCATTAATAGCTAATTATATACAATGAGGTTATCCTATAGTAAGAATCTATTTTAATGCACACCGTTTATGAGGCCATTACAAACCTGTCAGACTGAGATATTCTGTAAAACAAGTACATTAGAAGAGCTGGTGGGTTTGCAGGGTAAACAGTGGACTGCTAACTGCAAAGTCAGCAATTCATACATATCAGTGACTCCACTGGAGAAAGATGATGCTTTCTGCTTCCTTAAAGATTTACAGCCTCAGAAACTCTACATAGGGTTGCTATGAGTTGGAATTGGCTCAAAGGGAGTGGGTTTGTTGTTTTGTTTTGTATGGGTTATTTTTTTTATTTTTTATTTTTTTGGTTAGTAACAAAGAAGTCATTGTTTAATTAATATGCTACAGCTTTATTTCTAGTTTTGAAAATATAAACAAATATTTTAAACTGCAAATTATTTCTTTTCAAAATACAGTGTTAGTGACTTTGGGGTTATTCACAATAACAATTTATTTTCCCAGAGTTTGCCACAAAACAGACAATTGTCCAGAGGAGAGAAAATAGGAAATAATCAAATAATCTTTTGATTATTAAGTAGTGGTCAAAATATTTGCCTTTGGGAAATTTGATAAATTTGTAGTAAAAACAAACAAATCCACTGCCATCAACTCATAGGGACCCTGTATAGGGTTTCCCAAGACTGCAAATCTTTATGAGAACAGAAAGTCCTCTCTTTCTATCCAGGAATCACTGATGATTTTGAATTGCAGACTTTGCAGCAATTAGCAGTCCAGTGCTTATCCTACAATACCACTGTTGTTGTTGTTAAGTGCCGTCGAGTCGGTTCCGACCCATAGCGACCCTGTACAGGGTTTCCGAGGGTGTAAATCTTTACGGGAGTAGAAAGCCTCATCTTTCTCCCGTGGAGCGGCTGGTAGTTTCGAACCGCTGACCTTAAGGTTCGCAGCCCGATTCGTAACCACTACGCTACCAGGACTCCTTAAATTTATAATAGTCATCAAATGTTTTTTTTGTTTACTTTACAAGGAGTTCTAACTATCTTGATTATTGTATTTCTAGATCCATAATCAAAAGGAAGCACTAAAACTTTTCTTTTTTTAAATGTTTTATGTAGAACTCAAGCACAGTTAAGGTAAAGAGGATAAATATATCATTTAATCTTGCAGAGGAAAGAAGCTTAGTAATATCTCCTCTTTACAGTCATCACTTTCGTTATCACTTGCAAATAATTCAGTGTACTCTAAACCCTTATTTTGTGTAAAAATAATTAGAAATACCATTATTAAGATCTATATATAGAGTCCTGGTGTAATGCTGCCAGTTAATTGCACTGGACTGCAGCCGCTCCATGGAAACCCTATATAGGGTATCCTTGTTGGAACTGACTCGAAAGCACTTACTCAACAACATAGAGTCCATATAAGGTTAACGGTTCAAACCCACCAGCAGCTCACAGGAGAAAGATGAGGCTGCCTTATCTGGTAAAGGTTGACAGTTTTAAAATAAAACCCTATATAAGGTCACTAAGTAGTAAAATCTACTTAATGGCCAATGGTTAGGTATCTAGATGGTAGAAATGTTAAGGTCTCTCAGTTTCCTAAGGGGCACCCCTTTCTGTTTTTGTAAAAACTCCACAATTTAAGGAGTTCTGTATCTTCCACTTTCTACAAACTTCGACTGACCTGGAGTCTGACTTGTTATTGTTGTTAAATGCCACTGAATTGGTTCCGACTCTTGGTGACTCTATGTACAACAGAACGAAGCACTGCCCTGTCCTGTGCCACCCTCAGAAGTGTTGTCATGTTTGAATCCATTGTTCCTGCCACTGTGTCAATCCATCTCATTGAAGGGGCTTCCTCTTCTTCACTGACTAGCATGATTTCCTTCTCTAGGAACTGGTTCTGACAACACGTCCAAAGCATGAGAGACAACATCTCACAACCTCACTGCTAAGGAGCACTGACCTATGGCCTATTATTGAATTAGATATAAAATTAATTTTCTTCCATCTTGATGAGCATTGATGTTGTTAAGTGCTGTCAACTCGGTTCTGACTCATAGCGATCCTGTACAGAGTTTCCGAGGACCAACTGGTGGGTTTGAACTGCAGACCTTGTGGTTCGCAGTCCAGTGCTTAGCTGTTTATAATTTCTTAAATGAAAGAAAACTGGAATGGAAACTATAAAAGCACTGGAGAAAACTCACGAGACTAATCCTAACTCTAAAAAGAAAGGAGATAAAAAATAGCCTTTGTCATTTATTCCAACTCATGGGAATCCCAGGTGTGCAGAGCAGAACTGCCCTATGGAACTTTCAAGGCTGTGATCTTCCAGAAGCAGATTTCCAATCTTATCTTCTGAGGGGTCCCTGGGAGGATTCAAACTGCCAAACTTTTGGATAGTAGTCAATCACTTAACTGTTTGTGCCACCCAGGGAACTCACAAAATAGGCTTAAAACCTAGTCATTGCATTGTTTCTGACTCATAGCCACCCTGTATAGAGTTGCTGAGGCTGTAAATCTTTACAGGAAGAGACACGCTTATCTTTCTCCTGCAGAGACACCTGTGGGTTTAAACTACTAACCTTGTGGTTATATTTCAGTACTTATTCTATTGTACTACCAGGGCTCCTTCAAAATAGCCTTGTTGTTGTTGTTAAGTGCCATTGAGTGGGTTCCAACTCATGGCCACTCTATATAGAGTTTTCAAGGAGCTGCCTGGTAAGTTTGAACTGCTGACCTTGGAGTTCAAACAGACCTTGTGATTCAGTGCTTACCCTACAGTGCTGCACCAGGAGGATGCTACACACACAAAAATCACCTTAGCAGATGTATAATGTCTTAAACATCTCAGTGAGAGAGGATAGCACTAACTTTTAGTCCTACCAACTTCTGTAGCAGATCCAGTTAAGATAGCGAAGTGACTTGTGAGTTCTATGCTGGCATGGGATAAGGGGAAGGAGTGGTAGATTTGTCATTTCTTTAAGAAATAGACAAGCATGTATTCAATATAATGTATTTCTTGAATAACAGTCATTGTTATTTTAAAAAGATATTTCTTGCTCTTTATTATGCTTACATTTGTATTAATATTAAAATAGAGCTAATTACAGTAGTAAAGTGAAAAATTTAACCCATTATTTGAAGTCTATGGACCTTTTAAAATGTAATATATTCTGAATAATTTTAGTGTGAGATCATGTTTTCCTTTCCTCTCTAAAAACAACTTCAAATGAAGAATGTCTCATATTTTCCTAAATCAGTAGATGAATGTGCTGCAATAGCTAATAATATATAACCCATTGTCACCAAACTAATTCCAACTCATAGTGACCCTATATAGGGTGTCTGGGGTCTTAATCTTTATGGGAATAGAAAGCCTCATGTTTCTCTTATGGAAATGTAGATAATTTAAATACACTATAGTCTACTGTAGGATACACACTTGACTGGTAACCACAAGATCGGCCAGTTTCTCTTGGAAACCCTAGTCAGGGTTGCTATGGATCAGAACCAACTCGAGGGCACACAAAAACATAGTCAAAAACAGTAAAAGTGCATAACAAAATAATAATAACTACTATATTTAAAATGAAAATTGATAGTCTACTTCTTCCCTGGGAGATCTCATTCTTAGTTCTACCCTATCTTAATGGATTTTAATATGAAATAGATATTACGTAGCTGAAATAAGATTTTCAAAGTATTTAGGATTATTTTCCTGCTTTATCGGTACTGTAAGAAATTCTGCAATAATGTTGGCAGCTGGAGCTGTGGGATCAGGTGCAATCTTGGTCTTCCTATGTAGCTTCGAATACAGAGTCGGCAAAGTTGGCAAAGAGAGCTTGGAGTAACTACAAAAAGACAGAATGATATTTTCTAATTAAAACCAAATAGATTTTTTACATTGTAAGATACGTTAAATAAGATCATAAGTAATAACAATGCTTTGTAGTGAATTAGGATACTATGACCCTATATTAATGGAATTTATATAAGTATCTGTAATGATTTTACTTATGAGATATTTTATAATTTATATATACTTCATATTTGTTTGCTAAGACATTATAATCTTCAGGTTTATGAAATTATTGTTGTAGTTAAAGCCTCCAAAATAAATTTTGTGTTTTGAAGGCACTATAAATCAAAATCTCCGGAAGTGTTATGTGCCAAAAGGGGACATTTAAAAACTAATATTTTCTCAAACATGTATACCATTGTTGATGTTACAGCAAATTTTATAATTTTTTTTATTATATTAAAAAAGCTGGTTTAGAATTAGCAATACTGTTTTAGAACCAAAGCTGTCTTATGTATGAAAGTATTTCCTGGTTATGTTTCCACATATGTTATAGCAGGTGCATGCCCTTAAAAAATGGTTCATGTTTCCAAATATTAATGTTGTTGTTGTTAATGTTACATGCCATCAAGTCAGTTCCAACTCATAGCGACCCTATCTGTACAGTTCCCAAGAAGCAGTTGGTGGGTTTGAACTGCCAACATTGCCGTTCACTGTCCAGTGCTAATCCTACAGCGTCACACCAGATGTCCAAATATCAATGAGCATATATTAAATCAGAGACACATACTAGGCATCTCAAAACAAATGGAATTTATTTAACCAAAAATATATTAAAGTTTGCATAAAATGAAAGGATAAAATTAAAATCAGTATGGTAACATTTTAAAAGAGAAAATCTACGTTATAAGATTGTCTACTTTCATAAAATATGTTTCAAATTTTTATGCCATCCTTATTTTACATGCCAGCCAAAAGAACCCCTTATACTGCAGTTAAAGCAAGGAGAGCCACAACTGGATGAAGCTACACTGTTTTTCTGGGTCTCATAATTTTCCTACCTTTAACGGGGTACAGTTGCACCAATTTCTACTGTTTATCTTACTGCAAGATATTTGTGTTCCCCTTCTCTTACAGGTTTTGGCCTTACACAGGTTCCAAGTTTTGAAAGATTTACTATATTTCCATATATTTCATGCAAATGTATTTTTTCTTCTTACCTTCATATTGAAGCAATAGTCTTTCCACCGAACTGCTAGAAACAGCTACCTCTACAGGTCGCAGAAGCTCTGTATTTTTAGCATTGATATCTGCTCCAAATTCTAGCAGTAAGTTTAAAATGTCTGTATTGGATTGTTGAGCAGCAGCATGTAGTGGGGTATCCCAGTATTTGCCTTTTTGTACATCAGCACCTACATATAGATAGAAAATGATATATGAAAACACAAATGGTGAGATGAATCACTTACCTCAGTGGCAAAAGGGAAATGAGAGTGCTTGATGAAGATACAAAGGGGCCCTCAACTCGGACTGCAATGAATTATTTCTTTATATTTATATACATATACTTACATGTATTGTAGTTGTTGTTAGGTGCTGTTGAGTCAGTTTTAATTTGTAGCAATTCTGTGTAAGGTTTCTGAGGAGAGGCTGGTGTGTTTGAACCACTGACTTGTGGTTAGCAGTTCAGTACTTATCCTATAGCTCTATACCAGGACTCCACCTACATACACATACACACTGTACATATGTAGGTATATACCACATCTGTGTGTGTTTCATATATATATATATATACACCTATACAAAGTATTGTTGTTGTTGTTGTTAAGTGCCATCGAGTCAATTCCGACCCATAGCGACCATGTATAGGATTGCCAAGCAGCAGCTGGTGAGCTTGAACCACAGACCTTGCAGTTCAAACTACTTTGCAGTCTGATTCATTAGCCCACAATGCCACACCAGGACTCCATACAAAGTATTAAGAATAGTGTTATCTAGATGGTCAGTGCCTACATTTGATATTGTTCTACATACTTTTCTGTATGCTTAAAATATTTCATAATAAACCAATGTTTAAAAATGTTTAAGTGCTCCAAAAGTAATATATTAACTAAAATTATAAATAGTATACCATTAAGTTCACTCATATATATTTCCATATTTCTATTATTGTTGGTAGATTTTAATATCATTCAGTGCCTATTGCACTTTTTTTTCATGTATTTTAAGACAATGAGCTCTTTAATTTATTGGAAAACTCATAAATCTAGATTTAAATCCAGACAATATAGGAGATTTTTTTCTGTCACTTATCACTCATATAGTTTAAGACAATAAATATATAAAGGCACAGAGCCTCTTAAGTGAATGAGGCACATCATATTTTTACATGAAAAGTAAAATTTTAAAAGGCTTACATTAAATATTCTAAACATGAAATTGGAGTCCTGGTGTGGGCTGTGGGTTAATGTGCTAGACTGCACAGTCGGTTTGAACTACAAGGTTGGTTGTTCAAACTCACCAGTCACTCCTTGGAAACCCTCTAGAGGTTCACTATGGGTCGGAAACAACTTGACGGCATTTAACAACAACAAACATGAAATTACCTATTGCATATTGATTTTATCTTACTGCAGTGAATGAATGATCTTTAAAGAATGATCTTTAAAGAAAAAATTCAAGTACATAGATGGTTACCAATAAATGTGTTAAGTCCTTTTCAACTCTGTTTTTCTGACACTTTAAGTAAAACTAATTGCGTCTATAAGAAGCAGTACATTTTAATACTCCCTTTATGGCCCTTCTGCTATGCTCAAATTCCAGTAAATGTAATCGCTTTCAGTATTCCTTAACAAAATTAAAAAAAAAAATGCAAAATGATATTTCATAGAAAAATAGAGCAGGAAGGGAAAGCATAAACTCTCCTGATTTTATCAATTTTATCCAAGAATAAGGACTGAAAATAACAAGTACTAACAGCACTTCTTCAATCTATTCTTCTAATCCAATATAAAATGCTGAGTGGAAGAAATATTACTAGAAAAATAAATTCACTAAAGCATGAATCCTATGTTCTCATTCTATGGGAATAATAAGGCCAAAGAATAACAATCAATCAATGATTACTAAGATAACTCATGTTGAAGACTCGGGTAAGATGTAAATTAGAATAAAATATTAGATGTAAATTTTAACTATAATAATGTGAGCATAAAGGGGTTGCTAAAAAAAAGTATAAATCAAGGGGACAAATGGTTGCCATAAATAGTAAGTACTAACAAAATCCATTTGTTAGTTTTATTTCTATTTTAAGCACTTGCCACATGAGAGGCACTGTGGTAAAGAAAACAGATGATGGGGAAAAAAAGGTATCATCTATATCCTACAGGAACTCCCTGTCCAATGCTAGGAGAAATCACTAAGGTCTTGAAATGTCAGGGGGAAAACGGTTTTCAGAGGGTTAAAGCAGTACCTTGGTGAACTGGTCTATTAAAAACAGTTGAAAAAAAGGTAAAATGTCTAAAGTCAGACAGTTAGTTCTAAATATGGGAAAGTACTCAATTTTTTGCTTTGTAGAAGATAAGATTACTCAAGTAGTTCAGTTGTTGCTGTTAGGTGATCTCAAGTCAGTTTCAACTCACAGTGACTCCACGTACAACAGAATGAAATATTACCCAGTCCTGCGCCATTTCACAATCTTTCCTATGTTTGAGCCACTTGCAGCTACTTTGTCAATTCTTCTCATTGAGGGTCTTCCTTGAAGCGTTCTTTTCGATGATGAATATGATGCAATTCCTCTTCAATTTGTCATTCATGTCATAGTAGACCTTAACTTTTTTCTGATTCAAAGTGACCAATACCATCTCACTAACTCATAGGATATCAATCTTTGTGTTCTCTTTCATTTTTTATGGCTTCCAATTTTCCTAGATTCATAGTTTGTGTATTCCACTCTTCTATTACTAATAGTTATTTGCAGCTGCATTTCCTCATTTTGATTCAAACCACATGAGCAAATGAAGGTCTTGTAAACGTACTCCATACATATAATTAAGGTAAACTTTCGCTATGAGTCAGAACTGACTCGACAGCACTTAACAACAGCGACTACTTTGAGGAGACAGCTCTTCCCTAGTTAAATGTTGAGTGTTTTCTAACCTGAGGGATGCATCTTCTAACACTACATAAGACAACATTCCGTTGTTATTCATAAGGTTTTTCAATTGTCTTTTTTTTTTTTTTTTTAAAGTAGATCACCATGCCCTTCTTCTTAGTCTGTCTTAGTCTGGAAACTCCATTGAAACTTGTCCACTATGCGTGACCCTTATACTGCTGGCAGTATTACAGCAACATGCAAGCCACCTCAGGAGTCCTTGTGTGGTGCTGTGGGTTAATGCGCCAGACTACAAAGTCATTTGAACTGCAAAGTTAGCGGTTTGAGCTCACCAGCTGCTCCTCAGAAACCCTATACAGGGTCGCTATAGGTTGGAACCGAGTTGGCAGCACTTAACAACAACAACAGTACAGTCAAACTAACATATTAACAGGTAAGTGGTGGATTCAAGCAGAGTTTTTTCAATAGGAAAAAAATGTCCTTATTGAAAATAATCTCATATATAAGTACACTATTGTTTTTTGTTAAATGCTGTTGAGTCACTTGTGACTAATAGCAACACTGTATAGGGTTTCCTAGAAGCAGCTGGTAAGTTTGAACCACTGACCTTAGGGTCAAATGCTTATCCTACAGTGCCACACCAGGACTTCTATATATTTAAGCATATATGTTGTTGTTATTGTTAAGTGCTGTCAAGTCGGTTCTGATATATACTATATATAAATATTGTTGTTGTTGTTAAGTGCCGTCGAGTATATTCCAACTCATAGCGACCCTGTATAGGGTTTCCAAGTGTGAACCACTGACCTTGTGGTTCAAAACAACCTTGCAGTCTAGCACTTTATCCCATAGAGCCATACTAGGACTCTTATATATAAGTATGTTGTTGTTGTTGTAAAGTGCCATCAAGTCAGTTCTGACTCATAGAAACTCTATATAGGGTTTGCGAGGAGCAACTGGTGGGTTTGAACAACTGACCTTGCTGTCCAAACAGACCTTGCAGTCCAGTGCATTATCCAGCAATGCCACACCAGGACTCCATATATAAGCATATAACCAATAAAAATACCCTGTTCTCTTGTTTACTTTTTATTGGGAATTGAGTGAACATTTGCAGAACAGATCATCAGATTTACACTCAACAAATCATATATACTTCCATTTCATATCAATGATTGTAATCCCCTCCAAGTAACATCAGCTGTCCCACTTCCTCTCTGTGATTCTTATTTCCATTTCACCCTCCTTCCCAAACCTTCTGAACTTTGTTCTTAGGTAAATTTTGCCCTTTTGATTTGGAATGGTTGTCTATACATAGTGAGCATAATACCTTTCTTCTAATGCAATTGTCCCACTAACATACCTATCTGCCACTTAGCTTATGAAGTTAAGTTTCATTCCAGACCTAAGGGGTGATCGAGGGCCAGAGTCATGGGTTCCTCCAGTCTCTTTCTGACAAGTAAGCCTGGTCTTTTTTGATAATTTTGAGTTTTGTTGCACATTTCTCCCCACTCTATTAAGGATCTTCTAATATGGAGCTCTGGTAGCGTAGTGGTTACGAATCGGGCTGCGAACCTTAAGGTCAGCGGTTCGAAACTACCAGCCGCTCCGCGGGAGAAAGATGAGGCTTTCTACTCCCGTAAAGATTTACACCCTCGGAAACCCTGTACAGGGTCACTATGGGTCGGAACCAACTCGATGGCACTTAACAACAACAACAACAAATGTGATCCATTTCAGAATGGTTGGTATGGTGGCAGGGCACTGCCTAGACCTTCTGGCATCAGGGTCATAGAGACTGATGTTCACATGTTCCATTAGACCATTGGACTAATTGATTCCAAGTGTCTCCAATTTTTAATCACTCTTCTTTCCTCAGAAAGAACAGTTTTATAACAAACCAAAACCAAATGATTGTCATTAAGTAGGTTTCGACTCATAGTAGGACTGAACAGAACTGCCCTCTAGGGTTCCCAAGGCTGTATATCTTTATGCAAGTAATCTGCCACATTTTTCTCTAGCTGAGAGGCTTGTGGGTTTAAACTGCTAACTTTTCTATTAGCAGCCAAGCTATTTAAACACTGTGCCACCAGGGCCCTTATTTTTGTAACAATGAAGTATAATTTTTAAAGATTCTTAGTTAAAGAGCTAAATATAAAGCTGAATAATTGTGTGTTTGGACAGAATAGAAAGTTATTTTGAAGACAAATACCTGCATAAAGAAGTTTCCGGACACAATGGAAATGTTGTGCCATGCAAGCTACATACAGAGGAGTTCCCAAATGAGGAATGTCTTGGTCAACATCTGTGCCCCAGGATATCAGTATTTCTAGACATTCATGGTGGCCTGCCAACAGAGAGTAGGGCTGAGTTTACTTTTATTTAATAATGAACATCCCCCAACACAAGTTCTCCCAAACCCAAACTTCTCCCCTGCAGTGCTTTATCGTTGATCATTTCAAGCACTGCATGCTACTGAAGGAATTTTCTCTCCTTCTGTCCCTTAACCTTACCTTTACTGGCAGCCTCATGTATGGGAGAAGGAAGGCATGACTCCAGTTGGGCTTTGGCACCATATTCCAACAGAAGTTCAGTACAACTTGAACTGCCTTGTGAGCATGCATTGAATAATGGAGTCACACCATCTATTGTAATTGCGTTTACCTAGACCAAAGCAAAACACTTAGAATGAGATTAACTCACTTAAACATACACTAAAAATAAAGTTGTACAGTCTGTTAAAAATAATTGTGAAAATATATGTAGTAAATGTGCCTGACCATATTTATCTTACACATCAATAAGGACTGGGCAGTATTTTTATCTGTTGTACATAAGATCGCTCTAAGTTGGAACTGACTCAGCAGTCCCTAACAACAAATATCAATAAGGAAGACATTTAAGACTTCAAGTGACTGAGTAAATAGACATATGACTGAGTAAAATATTTTTATGAGATACATGGTCACTAATGTAAATTGAATAATTGGTTTAAAATCAATTTGGAAAAATCATAAATATCAGTTATCAGAGGAAAATGCAATGGTGACAAAAGTTGTAATAAAACTATTTGCTGGTGGCAGTTAAAATTGGTAATTCTATTTGTGAGAATTTATGTAAAGAAAAATGATGAATCATCCAACAGATGGACAAAGCTTATAGGCATAATGATTTTCAGCTATTGCTGTTTAGAGTAATAAAAGTGGAAAATAATCTAAAAAATGTCATGTATTATGATGTAGCATGTTTACACCCATTTTTGCAGTTATCAGAAATCTTCATAGCGTGCAATGATTAGACTGAGGCAATTCACAAGTTTTATTTTTGCTGTTATTTGACCACTACTTTGAAAGAGATGGAAACAGAGAGAGCAGAAGGGAGGAAGGGGTAAGGGAAGGAAAGAAGGATGAGAATTTTGCATGGCTCTTAATCGATAGATTTTCATATGTTAATGTTTTAAAAAGGTACTTACATTAGCTCCAGCTTCCAGAAGAGTCCGGGCACATGCCACATGATCTCCAAGGCAGGCTTCATGCAATGGGGTGATATGGTCTATGGTTACTGCATTTACATTATATCCCTAAATATGACATCAATAATTATGAAGCATGAACAAGTTATATAAAATCACAAAGCATTTCAGGCAAATTCTCTTAAGCAGAGATTATCAATTCAAATGTCACAGAATCAATCAGGTGTCAGGACTACTTAATCCCATCATTATAGCAGCATGATACCTAGATCTGGTACTGCCTAAAATATGTTCTTTAATAGATTCTAATATGTTTCCAAGGAGCTCTGGTAGCGTAGTGGGTACGAATTAAGCTGCGAACCGCAAGGTCAGAAGTTCAAAGAAAGATGAGGCATTCTGCTCCTGTAAAGATTTACAGCCTCGGAAACCCTGTACAGGGTCGCTATGAGTCGGAACCGACTCCATGGCACATAACCACCACCAATATGTTTCCATTAAATTTAGCTTTCTTAATGTTTTTGTTTTGTATACATTGTTTTCGGTTGTTGTTGCTATTATTATTTTATTTCTTCTCAAAATAATGACTAAGTAGAGAAAATATTGAAGTTGTCCAATATTTCCTTTAAAACACTGATACAATTAACAACCAAGGAAGTAGAAATCAAGAGATCAAACGAATTATTGCATTGGGCAAATCTATTGCAAAAGACCTCTTTAAAGTGTTACAAAAAAAACAAACCAAAGATGTCATTGGGAGGACTAAGGTGCACCTTGACTTAAGGCATGGTATTTTCAATCACACCATATTATGAGAAAGCTGGTCAATGAATAAGAAAGACCAAAAACAAATAATGCCTTTACATTATGATGTTGGTAAAGAATATTGAATACACCTTGAACTGCAAGAAAAATCAACAAATCTATCTTAGTAGAAGTACAGCTAGAATGCACCTTGGAAGTGAAGATGGCAAGACTTCGTCTCAGGTACTTTTGAAATGTTATCAGGTGGGATTAGTCCACGAGAAGGACACCATGCTTGATAAAGCAGAGTCCTCAAAAACGAGAAAGACCCTCACTGAAATGAATTGACGACACAGTGGTTGCAACAATGGGTTCAGATAGGACAATGAAAATAAGGATTATGCAGGACCAGCAAGGGTTTTGTTCTGTTGTACATGCTATGAGTTAGAGCAGACTTGATAACACCTAACCTAGTGTGACACTGTAGGAGCAATGCTAAACTGCAAGGTTGGTTTGAACCATAAGGTTGGTGGTTCAAACTCACCAGCTGCTCCTCAGAAACCCTATACAGGGTTGCTATGAATCAGAACTGACTCGACAGCACTCAACAACAACAACAATAACATAGGCTGAATTGCTTGTTCTGAATGGAGCTAATCCTTGAGTGGTGCAGAAGATTAACATTTCTGGTTGCCAACTGAGAAGTTGGAGGCATCTCAGAAGCAAGACCTGGCAATCTATTTCCAACAAAACTCTATAGAGCACAGTTCTACTCTGATATATATGGAGTTACTATGAGTTGGAATGGCAACTAGTACTGTTGATTGTTGTTGTTGTGTATCATTGAGTCAATTCAGACTCATAGCAACTGCACGTAACAGAGTAGAAATTCCCCAAAGAGTTTTCTCAGTTGTAATCTTTACAAAAGCAGATCACTTGATCTTTCTCCTGTGGATGACTGAGTCTGAACTGCCAACCTTTAGGTTAGTAGTGGAGTACTTAATTGTTTGTGCCACTAGGGATCTGATATAAAATTATAGTTCAGCTCAACCTGTGCTAAACAAACAAACAAACAAAGACTAAAAACTGTAGTAAGCTGTTTTGTGAAATTTTGTCATTAAATAGGTACAATTAGGTTTTGTGAAATTTTGTCACTAGATAGATAGAATTAGGTTTGGTGTTGTAGTTAAGAACTCTGACTATGGGGTCAGTTAAACTTAGGTTTACATCTTAGCTCTGCTATACAACAACCGTTAAACAAGTAACTTGAATTTTAAACCTAAGGCTTATCATGAGGATTAAATGAGATGATGTTTGTAAAACAATTACTATCACAATACCTGTCATATAGAAAATGCGCAGACTCTTATCACTAGTCTATTATAACTTAGTAAACATTGTTGATATTTTTATTCCAATTAAACTAATGATATCCAAGTATAGTAATTTGTGTTATTAGGCTGGAGATTCTTTGCTTTCTTGCTATTTTTAGTAATTCATTGTCTAGTAGAAATTATATTCATAGTCAAATCCCCATAAACAGATTCAATCATCTATAATATCAGAATGGACATGAAGATTCTTAAAAACAAGAAATTAGATAATCACTCCACATCTTTGCCATTATCAAGCGGCAATTTTTAAGATTCCTTAAATTATCCTTTCGAAGATTCCCAGTTGGCTAGCAGTAGTCAAACGTCAAGAATTAATCCCACTCTGCTGTGTACTCTATGACAGTGCAGCTGAGCATATTACCTTTCGAAATGGCCTTTGGGAAAGCTTAAAATTCTCCTTGGCTGGTCAGTGAAATACATGTTGACAAATAGTCAACACTGCTCTCCTCTTAAAGAACTGCACTGCTCTCTAAATCACTGACCTTTCTACAGGTTTGACTTTTTCTTCCCATCAAGTGCTGAGCAAAGTAAAATAGTCACATGGGAATCCCTAAGGTAGCACCTCATCCTACATCTTCATTTTACAGATGAGAAAGTGAAGGCTCAAATATGTTCTGATTCCCCTCAAGTGCCTGCCTAGAATCTAGGACTTGAGTCCTGTGACATTAGTGTTCCAACTGAGCAATACTCAATGTTGACTTATCCAGTAATCAAGGTAAGTATAGGATTACTTATGCTTACTTCCTAATCTGTAGTGAACAATTTCACATTTTTTTCATCTTAACAGTGATTCTGCTTCCAGGTCTGTTTGGCATTCCCCTTTCTCTCTCAATTGCACACCTTAAAGATTCAAAGGCTTTTCCCATTTACTATCCTTGACAGGCACAGAGTACTCAGTAAGCAACATAAGCCTGTGTTTACTTGTATCAATTTACTGATCTGTAAAGAACCATTTCACATGTTTTCCCATGGGAAAATATTCACTACAGATTAGTAAGTATGCACAAATAAACCCATGCTTACCTTGTTTATTGGATACTCTGCTTCTGGAAACACTAGTTTCTTTCCTCATAGCTATCTGAGAAAATTCCTTCCTCTTGGTAAGCATGAAAGTCATGATTTCAGATGTGGGTATGCATTTGATCTATACTGGAAGCTTACAAAAAACGCATAGCCCCAAGCCCAGTTATTTTCTGATTCATTTAAGAATCTGGGTTTTTCACTTTTCCTCTGATGATTCTGCTGACCAGGCAGATGTAGAAATAATTGTTTTATAGCTTTTACCATCAAATCACCAGAGCATATTACAGATGACCATAAAGTAAACAAAAAAAAAAAAAATTTGTTTACGGATCTGATAACCTGTTTTTTAATGTCTTTACAACTAAATTAATCCACAACAAGCTACATAATGTTAAATCCACAATTAACTAGATAATGTACACATTGTACAGACTTAAGCATGTTTAGAATGCTTACTAAATATACATAAACTTAAGCACTGCTTGGATACATCTTCAATATTGTATCAGAAATTTGAAATACTATGGAATAAGATTATGACAAAATATTTATAAAGAAGTTTAAAAGATAAATAAATAATTGACTAATATGAGTTAAGGAGTCCTGGTGTGGCACTGTGGGTTAATGTGCGGGACTGCAAGGTCAGTTTGAACTGCAAGGTTAGTGGTTCAAGCTTCACCAGCTGCTCTTTGGAAACCCTATACAGGGTTGCTATGAGACGGCGCCAACTTGACAGCACACAACAACAAATAACAATATGAATTAAAAATAAAAGGCAGTAATAAAATTTATTAAGCAGTTTTATTATATTAGCATCAATTTGTTTAGATAATTGATGCTACTTGCTTATAAGAAAGGGAATATTTTAAGCTCTGTGTGATATTTTACCTGTGATAACAGTGTTCTCAGAGCAAGAAGACGACCTTGACTTGCTGCTTCATGGAGTGGTGATCGATCTGCCCAGGAACCTGTCAAAGAAGAAAGAAAACAAAACCTGTGAGCAAAAGTAAAGCCTGATTTGTTGATCTTATAGGCTGTCGAGTCAGGTACGACCTATAGTGACCCTGAATAGGGTTTCTGAGGAGCAGCTGGTGAGCTTGAACCACCAACCCTGCAGTTCAAATGGCTTTGAAGTCTGGTGTATTAACCCACAGCACCATACCAGGACTCCAAAGTCTAACAGACACGGTCAATTCTTATGTAACACACGTTATTCAGACTCAGTGTTCAACAAAGTGACCAAAATACTTATAAGAGAACAATGAAATCTGATTCTTATCTGAAGGATTCAGAAACCAGTGCTTCTAACCAAACCTTCTAACCTAAGATATGACGCTACACTATCTCTTGTTCTGCCTTTTATATTATGCAGAGTGATTTCACTGCAGGGACAGTATTATCTGCCTCAGAGGTCTTTCCTGAACACTGATGATGACTGTTTCATAGTAATAGACAACAGAATACTTCATGATATGACCCGCTACACACTGTGATATGCAGCTCCTGGCACTTTGGTCCTGGAAGCAGTACTACTTTTGTTTGTCTAATTTTACAAATGCCAGTGAGTAATATGAATTATGAGGATGAGTTAAAAGTTATCTGCACGCTGGCTGTACAATTTATTTTAATCAACTTTTAGAAAAGATAAAAACATCATTTTTCAACATAATTGCTTTTCAATACACTTTGTCCATTTGTCAACAAGCTTTCATATTCCCTTATTAAAAATGTTTTAGGCTGACATGTGAGCCACAAATGCATCTCTGTCTTAACTTGTTCATCAGAGGTGAATCTGTACCCTCAAAGGGCTACTTTCACAGGACCAAATAGGTGAAAGTCCAATGGAGCAAGATCAGGACTATAGGGAGAATGTTTTAACACCTCAACATGAAGTTTTTGCAGAGTGTCAACAATGTGGGCAGAGGTGTGTGGATGTGCATTATCATACAAGATCACAATGCCCTTGGATAGCAGTCCTTTGTGTTTAATCCAAAGTTAAGCTTCAGCTCTTCTGTAAGCATCTCACTATAGCAAACAAGCACTGGTGATGGTTGAATCTTTTTCCTGATAGTGGTCCAGTACTGGCCCTTGAGAAAACTGTAAGCATCGATATTTCCAGGTGATGGTTTACTTTTGAACTTTTTCTTGGTCAGCGATTGAGGATGTTTCCATCTATACTCTGTCATTTATTCTTAGGCTTATCGTGATGAATCCATGTCTTATCACCAGTAATGATTTTTTTTTCAGAAAAACTTTTACCTTCCTTCAAATATGGGTCCAATTTTTGTTTGCAGATATCCAAGCACTTCTATTTATTCTCTTCTTTGAGTTATTTTGGTACCCATCTCACACAAATTTTCAAAATCCAAGTCCGTCGTGGATTATTTCATAGGGAGAGGCATGGCTGATTTGCAAATGATTTGCCACATAATCTAGTGTCACTCATCTATTCAACAGAATCATATCATGTGCATACTCAAGTGTTGTCATCAGCCATGTAGGTGGACTGATGTTTTAATATAACCCAACTGCAGATAATTTTTTACTCACTCTCTTATATTTATGTTGAAACTTATAAAGAGTATCCTATAGAAATATAAACGCTCCTCTAAAAAGCCACTGACTAGAATCTCTGAAGACTCAACTGAATATTTTAGGTCTATTCATTTACATCTAAGTATAGAGACTAAGAACCTACTTGGAGTCTTTTCAACTCTCAAGAATTTTAATTCACGATATCTGCAGTATGCGTTCTTTCCTCAAGAATATATTCAGTGCTTATTTTAAGCCCAAGTACATAAAAGTTTATTTCAAATATAAATCTGGCTTTAAAAAATTATGTGCATCAAAAGACTTCACCAAAAAATAAAAAGGGAACCCATAGAATGGGAAAAAATCTTTTGCAATGACACATCAGATAAGGGACTCATTTCTAAAATATATAGGAAACTACAACACCTCTATACAAGAAAAAAACAAATAACCCAATTTAAAAATGGGCACAGGACATGAAAAGACACTTCCCCAAGGAGGAAATCCAGGCAGCCAACAGACACATGAAGAAATGTTCATGATCACTAACCATTAGAGAGATGCAAATCAAAACAACAATGAGATATCATCTCAAATCAGTAGTAACAGCAAAGATAAAAAAATTAAAGGCCAATAAATGTTGGCAAGTTGTAGAGAGACTGGGACTCTCCTACGTTGCTGGTGGGATTGCAAAATGGTCCAATCACTCTGGAAAACAATATGGCACTTCCGCAGAAAGTTGGAAATAGAAATACCTTATGATCCAGCAATTTCTCTACTTGGTATTTATCCACAAGAAATACGAGCCATAACACGAGTAGATACATGCACACCAATGTTCAGAGCAGCACTATTCACAATAGCAAAAAGATGGAGACAGCCTAAGTGCCCATCAATGGAAGAATGGATAAACAAACTTTCGTACATACACACAATGGAATATTATGCTACCTTGAAGAATAGCAAGGAAGCTGCCAGCCACTGCATAACATGGATGAACCTTGAGGACATTATGCTGAGTGAAATTAGTCAGTCACAAAAGGAGAACTATGGCATAGGACCATTTTTGTAAAAGCTTAAGAAAAAGTACCCACACTAAAAAAGAAAAAAAATATATATATTTGCTAGTTATCAGGGTGTATGAAGTGGGGTGAGAGGAGGGAGGGGAAGGTGGAGCACAGGGCATGAAATAGAAAAGGATAGTTTAGGTTCTAGGGGGTGGGCCAATACACAAGAAGGGGGAGGGGAATGGAAGAACAAGTTGGATAGGAGAACAGTTAGGCAGGTTCACATGGGCTAAGTGGGACAGAGGTAAATAATGATTTATGCACAATCTTGGAACAACAGGGCTCTGGGATACAGGGATTGAGGCATGGTTTCAATGGGTAAAAGAGGGGCAATAATGTTAAAATGCTTGGCTGTCTTTTGAATCTTGGTTTCCTTTACCCACTATTGTAAAATAGACACTTTAGGGGGAGGGAAAGGAATAACCAGAAACATCACCATAGAAAGCTTGTAAGTCCATTTTCAGCCTATAACTGATTGGAATGCCTAAAATGGGGCTAGACATTGTCATTGAAGGAGGCTTCCTACAGAGTCTTTGCAGTGCACAAGACCATAGGTAGACTCCTGATCCATACCCAGAATCTTCTGAGGTGGGAAATTTCCACTTGAAAGAACAAGAAAACCAGCCTGGAGTGGTTAGAAGAACAGAAGATACTTCTTGAAAGAAAGACCAGCAGGAAAAATCAAAACCAATAACTGCAGTCCAATTGACTACTACAAGAACAAAGCAAGTTGTTTGCTGGGGAGCCATCAGGGCAAGCAGTCAGATCATCTCAGGGCAAACCCCCCTTCCAAGACTGAGACTCAAGGGAAATACATGAGCAGGTATGTGGTCTAGTTGGTGACCATGTTGGTCTACCGATAAAGAGAAGTTGGGGGAAAATAGTAATAAAGTTGTGAGCTGAGTCCTACCACATTCAATAGACTCCTGTCAACCTGTGTTGAGACGTGATTGTCCAGCAGTATGGCAAGACCTGGGGAACCAATCAGTTATAGGCAGAAGACAGACTTACAAGCCTTCTATGGTGATGTTTCTGACTATTCCTTTCTCTCTCCCTCCAGTGTCTACTCTACATTATAATGCAAGGGAAACCAAGATTCAAAAAACAGCCAAGCATCTTAACACCATTCCCTCCCCCACCCCATTCCAACCATGACCTGTATCCCAGAGCCCTGCAGTTCCAAGGCTGTGCATATATCATCCTTTATCTCTGTCCCATTTAGCCCAGTCAGACATGCCCAACTGCTCTCCCATCTGCTCAGTTTCTCCACTTCCCTCTCCCTTCCTGTATATTGTCCCCCTCCCCAGCACCCAAGCTCTCCTGATTCCAATCCCCACCCTGTGCTCCACCCTACCCCCTGCCCCCCACCCATCACCAACTTCCCAGCAACCACCAAAGACTTCCCCCTGCTCCCCTTTAATATGGTTTCTTTTTTCTTAGTTTTTTACAGTAATGGTACTATGCAGTATTTCTCTTTTTTGTGACTGACTAATTTCACTCAGCATAATGTCCTCAAGGTTCATCCATGTTATGCGGTGGCTTGCAGCTTCCTTGTTATTCTTCAATGTAGCATAATATTCCATTGTGTGTATGTACCACAATTTGTTTATCCATTCTTCAGTTGATGGTCACTTTGGCTGTCTCCATCTTTTTGCTATTGTAAATAGTGCTGCTATAAACATTGGTGTGCATATATCTTCTCGTGTTGTGGCACGTTTTCCTTGTGGGTAGATACCAAGTAGAGGAATTGCTGGATCATAAGGTGTTTATATTTTCAACCTTCTGAGGAAAAATTTTCCTGAGAGGTTGGACAATTTTGCAGTCCCACCAGCAATGCAGGAGTGTCCCAGTCTCTCCACATCCCCGCCAGCATTTATTGTCCTCTACATTTTTCATCTTTGCTGTTATTGTTGATGTGAGATGATATCTCATTGTTGTTTTATTTGCATCTCTCTAATGGTTAGTGATCATGAGCATTTCTTCATATGTTTGTTGGCTGCACTGATCTCTTCCTTAGTGAATCATAGTACTTTTAATATTTTTCTCCAACACCAACACTCAAATATATCAATTCTTCTTCAGTCTTCCCTCTTCATTGCCAACTTTCATATGCATATGAGGCCATTGAAAATACTATGGCTCAGGCCAGGAGCACTTTAGTCCTCAAACTGACATCTTCACTCTTGAGTATTTTAAAGAGGTCTTGTGCAATACCTAATGCAATACGCCTTTTGATTTCATGACTGCTGCTTTCACGAGTGTTGATTGGGGATCCAAGTAAGATGAAGACTTTGACAGCTTCAATGTTTTCTCCATTTATCATGATGTTATTTGGTCCAATGGTAAGGATTTTTTGCTTTCTTTACATT